TACTGAAAGGCAAAAGCCTCATGTTTTTGAAAATCTGTTCTAGGCCAGAGAGAGATCCCCGACACCGACAAAAGAACCAAAGTGCCTTCTGCAGAAAGTCATTTCAGAAAAAGAATTCAGGGATAAAACACGAGGGAGTATTAAGATTGAAGTGACTTTCTAAGGGATCAGGACCTTGTCTCTGAGTATCTCCAAGAAGCATCTGGCCTCCTCTGCACAACCCTCTTCCTAACAACACAGGTTAAAGAAATATGAGCAGGTATTGGGTATCCTCTGCATATGATCCCAGAGCAAAAGGAGGATCCTGGTTTCCCTCTGCATTTCACTCTAATGAGGAACTAATTCCTTAAAAAATGAAGGTATTAAGCAGTGGTTTCATCCAGTGAATGTAGTTTCTCAAAAGCTTATATTGGGTTCTTGAAGCAAGGAGTGAAAAGGCACAATGTCACCCGTACAGGAGACTGTCAAGATCCATTGCCACAAAATACCTTCTGCAGCTAGAGCTAATCCCATTTACCTGGTCTTCGAACTGGCTGCAGGCTGCCCATTGCCTGCTTATACCTACGGCTCTCATCTTCTGCCACTTCATTAATATCTGAATAATCAACAGCATCTTCCGTGCTCTTAACCCAGCCTAGGAATAAAAGAAATCTAGTCATACAAAATTTTATCCTCATGTATATTACTAACTTCAGACTTCACTATGTACATATGAATCCTTTCCTGTGCTTCCTTTTCTTCAGGGAACAGAAACATCTAATTAATATCTCCCATAGCAGTATTTTTCTCCTCATTCCAACTAAAAGCTCCAAGCTCTGACATTTCCTAAAGATTGGCTGGTAAGTAACCAACTTTAGCACAAGGAACACTTTCCATTTACTCAGTGAAGCTGTTCAACAAGCTCAGAAATACAAAAAAGAACCATAATAACACTGTGCACTAAATCGGCTTGTTTAACACAGGGGAAAACACAGAGTAAACTTACTTATGAGGGAGGAGATACAAGTAAAAAAAACCCTCAAAAAACACATTAAAAAATGAAAGAGAATAAGTGCACAAGTGACCAGGAGATATTGTAAGATTCATCCTGGCAAGAAGGCAGCAAGGCCTTTGTCAGAGGACCTCTGACCAGGCAACATCAGGACACCCCTCGCAGCCCCAGGTGCCCTGGCTCCGCTCCTCCCTCTCCAGCAGAGCTGACGCTGCAGCTCCTCTGCCGTTTAGCTGCAGGTACCCCAGCGCCGACCTTCCTCGTCCACGTGGGCTCCGTCGGCCTCCGGGCTGTCGTCCTCACTGGCGGTGATCTCGGTGATCAGGTTGCCCAGCCCCAGTACGCCCAACCCGGCCAAGTGCTTCTTGGATTCCTGGGGAGACCAGGGCCACGTCCCAGCCCGGAGGCTCCGCCAGCCAGGCCGGATAAC